TCTTCTTCTTCTTCTTCTTCTTCTTCTTCTTCTTCTTCTTCATTGTCATCTTCCTCCTACTCTTCCTCCTCCTCTTCCTCTTCCTTCTTCCTTTCTTTCTTGTTCTATCGTTTTTGAACTTGCCTCTTTTTTCTTCTACCTTGATGGCCCACAAGGATGTCCTCTACTCCCTACTATTTCAATTCTAATCCAGTAAATAAGAGAGGGGAGTGGGAAGTGGGGAGTGATTGCTGGTTTTCCTTTGAGGGCAAGACCCAGAGGTTGTACACATTCTTTCATGAACACCTAACTGGGCAAAATACAAAGTCAAAGCTGCTTGTGGAATCACACATGATGATTCTAAATGAAGGTCTAACATTTAGTACTTTTGTAAGCCAATGCAGTTAGGAACTTTCCTCCAAAGTCCAGTTCAGTAGATGAGAAATCAATGAGTCAAGTTAACAAATGGAAGCAAGTCCTTGGAACTAGCTAGAACAATCACAACTTGAATCATCATTATACTATGATTGTTATTAGAATGCTGTGATGTATTCCTATATAGTCCTCCCAAAATAATGTATTTATTCATACATGTTGAGAATAGACCAGAAGAACATTTTTGGCTGTTATCCTTCTTGGGGATTGCCTCATTGGGTTCTCTTTTTGTGGGTAAAGAGTAGCACCCAGTGATTGACAAGTGTCAGTAAAAAGGACCATTTCTCTAATCACAAGCAGAGTCCTCAACCTCCCTACAGTGTTGGCAGCTGCCTCACTGAGAAATCTAGTACCTTGATTTCTTCCTCCATTCAGTCTTGCTCCTTTCTTGCATGACTCTGCTCTCCAAGAGCATTCTGAATAAAGTCATCTTGTAAAAAATCTCGACTTGAGTCTTCTCTAAAGTAACTTAATCTGGATTGTATATGCGCCATTCTCCAGAACTCTTCTAAGGACTGTGCTACTGAAGTCTGAAGATCGACTGTGGAAAGATGCAGTCATTGGCCCACTCTGCCTTGGCTAGTCTTTGAAAGCTGTAATGAACTACAGGAGAAGACCCCTCTTCTATAGAATCTTATCATCTTCTCTTTACTTCCCTTGAGATATACATAGCTATCAGTGTGTGAAGTACACTGTTCTAATGTTCTGAGATCACAAGGTTCATGAGAGAAGTAAATTATTAACACTCAAAATCTGAAATTAAGATTATGAAATGAGTACATTATCTTGGGGGGAATATGTAGGAGTACATCACAGCATTCTAGTTCCAAAAACTTGCTTCACTTTATTAATTTGACTCATTCACATATATATGAATGCAACTTTGGAACCATTTCTATTTTAATGTCTTTCTTTCCACCTTTAACCACACCAACATTTTCAACCTCCTGTTATCCACATCTGTGCACTTCAAAGACTTATGCACACTCGTAATTACAGTTACCTCTAAGGCCTATTTGTCTGCCGTTATTTTTCTTAATTATAATTGTTTTCTAAAGGAAAATTTGCATCTATGTTTAATTACTCGATTCCCACTTCTAGAGGAGGAACTAGCATATTGTTGGCAATAAGCAATCTTTTATTGAAAATTGGTGGTGAAACCTAACAATAAGAACCAGACAATAAATTCAATGACTTATATTTTTTTCCTTAAAACAATGACCTATATACCAGTGTGTTCATATTGAGTATTAGAATTAACATCAACAGATAATTTTATCAAAATCTCGGCTCACAGAAAAGAGTTTATGGAGAATTGCATGCAGCCTGACTATCCCTTATATGCTAAACTAGATCCTTGGGGTAAATAAAAGGTAGATGACATTATATTGACCAAGGTATCTGAGAAAGATTGCTCAGTGATGGTCACTATCCCCACAGAGCCATCCATCATTCATGCACAAGATACTCATTAAGAAAATAGGCAAAAGTGTGTTTCAGTGATATCTATATATCTACATCTATATATCTATCTATATCTATATCTATATCATCTATATATCTAATCTATATATCATCTATCTATATCTAAATCTAAATCTATATCTATCAATCTATCTATCTATCTATCTATGTATCTATCTATCTGGAGAGAGAAAGAGAGAGAGAGAGAGAGAGAGAGAGAGAGAGAGAGAGAGAGAGAGAGATCGTTGAATTAGGCAGGAAATAAAGGGTTGCTTACATTACCTATTCTCAGAATCAAACTGCCTGGAGAAGAACTGTTCTTCATTTTGGAGGAGAAGAGCTATTAAATTGTAGTAGTTACTTGCCTATTACTGTGTAAAACAGCACAAGCAAATTAATTTATAGGAGGAAGCATTTCTTTGGAGCTTACAGTTCCAGAGAGATGATCATCCATTACCATCTTGGCAGAGAAGCCTGACAGTAGTCAGGCATGTCCGCTGATGAAGGTAGCTGGCAAATCACATCTTAAACTTCATTTAGAAAACAAAGAACAAATAGAATAGACTGTGGCTTTAAAATCTCAAAGGCCATCCACAGTGACCTACTTCCCCCAACTAGTCTTACCTCCTAGGCCTCCCCAAAAGCACCACTAAATGGGAACCAGGCATAAAAATATCTTGGGCTTTAGGGACATTATCAATCAATTCTCATAAATAAAGGCCTTAGGCTTAAAACCCAACAACAGACCTACCATGCTGAACTGTGGTGTCAGAAAACGGCCCTAATCCATGATTCTAAACTGTTTTCCCAAGGAGTGAGACACTGAAAGGTGGATAGCGGGTGAAAAAGAGCTTCCCTACCAAAATCCCTCCAACCTCAGGCAGACAGCAGAGGGCAAGATTCTAGCTAAAAAGAACAGATTGTAAAAGATAATTCGAGACTTTGTCAGAGCATCAGGAGGAACCCTACATCCTGGTGGGATAGCATGAGTTCTGGCTTGCATCACTGCATCATTGGAGTATACTCGGGACACTCTGACATTGTGTAGGTCCTTTTGGCTGAGGTAGAGCCCATCTTAATGTCACTCGAATTTGGGCAGCGTTGTTAATTTCCTAATAGGGCTCAGAGATGAAGTTCCTTGATCTGCCCTGTCACTCTATAGCCTAGTGGCTAAATTTGAGCTTTTAGTCTGTATTACCGCCAGCTGCATAAAGAGCCTATGCCCATCTTTGAGACTATGAAGATCTCTTAGGGCTAAGAGATGCAGTTCCAAGGCAGCATAATATGGAGCAAGATAGCATGTATGTAAGGAATATAGGTTGGAAGAGTAAGCATATGACTTTGTTTCAGAACTTATAATAAGACAAAGCAAAAACGCAACACCGAGGAGATCATAATATTTCTCATTCCCAGGCCTATCCATAGATAGAGCCTCTGGATTTCAGATGAAGAGATATGGCCTCAGTCAATCAGATTTATATTTTGGTTCAGCAACAACTGTAGCTTCCTAGGTACACCAGTTTTAGCCTATAGATTCCCTACTCTATAGACAGGGAAAAGTGGTATGAGCCTTGGTATTTGGTTTGGTCTGGTGCTGCTATGTACTCAAATGCTAAATACTGGTCCCCAAGATCTGATTGCCCCATGATAAGCAAAGTCTCACATTCTCACATATAGCAGCTTTTGTTTTATAAGACTTCCTCCCAGAGTTAATTGGTTAATTAAAGGCTAAAACGTCTTATTAGGCAGTAGAGTGAGAAAGGCAAGCTTGAGGATCTAGTGAGGGGGTCTCAAGAAAAGCCAAGAAGAAGAAAGGAAACAAAGAGACAAGGAGTCCACCATGAGAGGACTTGGTCCATAAGCACATGGCCAGGAGAAATAGCAAGTACCAAGGGACATATGGCAGGTGTGTTAAGTTAGAATAGCTCAAAACCTACCCAATCTAGGCTTACAGATTGTAAATAAATACCAGGATTGTGTGTATTTTATATGGGCTAGATAGAAACACAGAGATGGAATTCTAATTAGGGAGGATAAATAAAAGGGGGATAAAATAACAGTAAGGGTATTAGAAAAAGTCATGGGGACTCATACTATTAACTATGCACCTAAGAATACTTATGGTGCATGTGAGTCACTGTATAAACATACATATATAGTTTAAATGAAATTTCCACATTTGGGCTGAAAATATTTCCTCCAAGAGCCAAATATTTTCTAACAGTCTCCAACTTCAGACATGAGAATCCTTCTTTTGAATTGTTGGTTAGGATTGTACAATACACTCCCCAAATATTAGACCATTGCTGTTGCCCTTGGTTGCTCCTTTCCTGAGTGAACAATAGTCCCTGTTGCCAAAGACAACTTTGGACACAGGCCCAGAGACTGTTAAACTTGAACAGATCTGAAAGACTAACAACTAACTTTCATAGTATAGGAAGGTTCTATGTAAGCCTCGAAATGAGGAACAAAAGAACAGTCCTACCCAGCTGTGTGACCTATGAACCATAGCAGTGGCCAACGTGGCATGATAACCCGAAGGATGGAGTTATAGACCTCAAATCTTAGTGACAATCAACAGCTCTCTAATTGGACTTTAGACATGC